TCCTAATTAACGTCCAGTGAAGCCTAAGCCGGTGTGATGTCGAAATTTGGAAAAAACCAAGATCGAACTTGGACGATAAAAACCGCGGTATTCAAATATTAATACCAGGGTCAGGAATGCGGCATGTGCGAGGAAAGCGCCACACCGCCAGACTTTTGGAAACTTGCAACCCAAATCAGAGTCGGCCATCGAAATATCGCCTGCTGTAGATTGAGCCAAAGGCGCAGCCAGTGTTCGTAAAATGCTGACGCCCACGGTGGAATTACAGTGGAAAATGTCATAAAGCTGTCATTGCATCCTAAAATGCAGCTCTTCATGGCGAGCGGGCAAGGGTTGTAGACAGTCCAGGGGGAGCAACGACAATGCTGTCTCCGGGGTTAGACACAAAATGGACGTCGTATGCAGGTTCTATGCGGGTTCTATATGCACTGCCTGCAATGAAAGGGAACAGGCGAAGTGATGGCGCCCCTAGTGTCAACGAATAGCTAGCTACTTCCATGGCTAGCACAACATTGTGTTCGGCAGCAATTCTTGCGATACATCTTCGAAATATACAGATATGTCACTCAATGTATATGGCCAGAATGGTAAGCACTCGCAAGAAAAACAGCTAAATCATACAAAGAAGGACATTTCGCCCCCCCCCGCCCCCCTCTCCAAAAATATGAACCATTAGTCAGTCAGTGGCGGATCTACCGAAGGAGAGGTCTAACCCCCCCCCGCTCCCCTTTGGGCCTCCACAGAAATAGGGGAAAACACAAAAAAATGCCTGCTAAACACCCACGCTTGGCAGCTACCCCCCCCCCCCGATCCAGTCCTGGATCCCCTCCCCGGCTGGTCTTAATGATCGCCAATGTGCCATTCATTCCCAAATCCAGTCAGCCAATCAATCACCTCCACCAACAAACACATAACTCGATAGACAACCGGTTAACCCGCCAATCACGTCACGCAAACAGAAAAGAAAGAAAGATGCAAACACAAACTTATAACAGGTTATTATTACACACCCTATCAATGCATGTGCAAAGTCTGTCCCGCTGGTCCATCGATGGACTTTTCCCTGGCGTCCTTCTGATCCTCCGCCCACCTTGGGTGCAACTCACCGCCTATCTCCTAACATATCTCGTGTAGTGTGCCACGCGACCAAATCGCCCACGGCTGTTTGATGTTGTGTTTGTATCCTCTCCTTGGCGCTTTGCAACACTGTCTCATTAGCTATCGTAAACTCAAGTGCATATCATAACAGCCGTCGTGCTGCCGTACCAACACTGAAGTATGACTGGGCATCGGATCTAAGGATTGCGGACACTCAAGAAACAAGAAAAGAAAGACAGAAAAGAACCTTTCCACCATAATTAATTAAACGATAGTGAAATTGCGGGCTAATGAAAAAGCAAACCCTCTAATATTAGGGGAGCTGTTTAAGTTTATGGTACAAAGAAGCTGGTCCGGGCATCCCTTGGGAACTATAGGAGATGAGTTTTCAGACTCGCCGGGTCTTGGCTCAGCCGAGCGAGGCGAGGGGAGAGAGGTATGCCGGGTTTAAGACGCGAAGAGCGGCGGGCGGTCAAGTGATGACCGGCAGGATGGACGAGGGGGCGGGGAGGTGGCGAAGGAACGATTGACAAGACCAAAAAATGAATGCGGGGTTCCCTCCAAGAATTTGGACTAAATAATAGAGTATTGTGAGTCAGTGGTACTTTCCTCGCCTTTCAAATCTTTCGCCACGGTCGAATCTCACACGTCAACGCTGACTGATTCCCGATTTTTTTCCTTGAATATTTTCCAAGGTTCCTCTTCCCGTGTGAATTTCTTCATCATCTTCTCTCTTAAGGTTTCATCTGGTGAGTTTATGATTTTGATTTGTCACTAGAGCAAAAATCTGACATCACATTCAAAGTAAATTCCAAGGACGACAAACCTTATACTGATAGGGTTTGGCTGACGGAATGTTGCATAATTTCCACAGAGGGCGGTTCTAGCTGAGGGGTAGAAAATGGAAGAGTATTTGTCACACAGACGAATAAGATGACGACATAAAGAAGGCAAACGCCTCAGGACAAGAATAGAAACACATTCTAAAAATGACAAACCAAGTGACCGTTAGGAAGCTGACAAAAGACTGGTACATCCGAGGGAGAGAGAAAGAAACAGGTTACAAGACTTAGTAAACCTGCAACGGACTGAGTCTTTTTGACTTTGTGAGGCAAAGTTAACTGCAGGCTGGCTGGTAATTACCGTATCTTCACAAACTAAACAGCAGCCTGTAATCTACCAACTTGTCTTTACCCCTTAGAAGCTGAAAAACTAAATACAAAAAATGCCAACTTGTCAATAATAGAAGGAGACACGAATTGTGGATGGAGTTTTACAAACTTGTCCAATGTATACATCCAAGTAGAGCCGTGCATCGCAAGGCGGCAGAAAAAGAAAACACGCTTGACGAGAAAGGGCATTGACAAAAAGAGTTGACCGGCAGAGAAAATAAAATAAAAGTAACAATGCCAGCATCGAATCTTGAGAAAAGGATGCAAGAAAGTAAGTAAAGCTTGACAGTATTTTTGGGAGAAACAAAAACATGGCAAGGGAGGGACGAATTGTGCCAATTGTCTTGTATCTATATTGGGCGGGAAATTGTAGTCATTATAGATTTCGCGTGGCATATTGGACCACTGTCTGCAGCTTCGATTCTGATCACTTCGATACCTTTTCTTTTAAAGTCCACTTATTCTTGAAACAACGACTGTTTTTCTTGATTAGTTAGTCTCCGATATCACATACAGTTGTGGTGAGCCACCTAGGCGATATTACACTCGGAGTAATGTAGAGGATGCGAGTATACGGACGCGGTGCCAAGGGGCCGGCAAAGTGACGAGTCTAGCGCCAGCCTCACCGTGTCCGTGCGTCATTAACGCTACAGCTCGTGTAATCATCCCAGGAGGGAACCCAGACTGTTCAAGTCAGACTTTCTGGTCATCGGCACCGTATAATCTCCGTCGATGAGTTTGTTTCTAGGCGCGTCTTAATCGATTCTTAGCTTGCCTCCTCACGCGTTCATTATTCGGCGCTGTGCGCACTCCGCGCCTTCTTACAGAAGGCACCCCTTCGACACAAAAACATCGCATCAAAGTTTCTCAATCAGTTAAGTAAAGAGTCTTTGTCATTCAAAATCAAAAGGCGTGCGTATTGCTACTTTTCTTAATTCAAATCAAAGTAGTAAATTAGTTAATAAGTTTTTTGTTCCTGGTGGAGCTTCTGGTCCGTGTTGGTGTTGTTTAACTCAGCGGGCCGGGCATGCGATATGACGGGGCGTCAGCACTCGCCGGTCCCGCTGCCGAGTCATTCGATGCCGAGGTATCAGCGTAATGAATTGCGACTGGTAAAATATGAATTACGTCTGATTAATTTACAAGACAACTGTGTGACTTTTTGTCTTGTGTGTGTGTTGAGGAGGGTGGCCCTCCATGTGGTCGGACGCATCTCGTCTGGTGACTTAGAGCACCCGTCCGAGTCAATTTGCCAGATTATTCCACAAAAGCGGAGACGAGTTTTTCTACCAAGACGGGCAGCGTCCGGGCCCGAGAGCCACCCGCCAGCCGCTATCCCTTGCTCCTCTGCCACCCGTCATTTCCCCCAGACGGACTTTTCCCTTAATTTACTCTCGTCCCAGCACCAACCCCTTGTAAAGTCGGGTTCACCCACTCACAGACAAAAGCTCTTGGACGTTGCGCATGCGTGGATCCCACCTGTTAACAGAGGCGCGCAGTTTGAACCCTGCGCGGCCGGCGTTTTGGCGCGCCGGACTTGACGATTTTTTTGTTGGGGGCGGGAGGATTCGTTAACGTTTCTCTTGCCCCGCCGGACTTTTTCTCCCGACATATGGTGCTCAATCAGGCTTTGATGCCACGTGCCGGTTAATGTAATGAATTGCTCTCGTGAAATACTACCTCGTGGTTGCCTTTTCAGCTCACTTGCAGCGGGTTTTGGGGGCCTCTGTTTTTTGGCTTTGCAGGCAATCTTTAGGACCGTTTCTCTGCTGGCTTTCTGTTCCCTACGAGTTGCTATAGTAGCTCCGACCAATAGCGTGGCGTAAAAATCAATTAGGCGTCTGTGTTTCGCCCATCTCAGTTTACAAAAGCAATCGAGTCAGATACATCTCAGGGAAGAAGAAAAGAAGAAAGAAAAAAACATTACATGGGCTGGGATCCTGTCACTGCTGGACATAGCGTGCTGAGTTTTTCTTCTTCTTGGCTGGTTGCCTATATATGCATGGGACAGTTTTGTTTTGTTTAACTGACTGGTGGTTGGTTATGTACGTGCATGTGAAGCTCTGGGCTTGCTAGAGGGGCAGATGTTCTCTGATATAGCGAGCGTAGTCCCTGACTAACTGAGAAGAGTTTGGTTCGATCCATCGTGAGCTATTTAACCAACGTGCATCTGTTGGCGGGCGAATGCCCCCAGGTATATAAGGCCGCAGAACTCAGCGGTCGCGCCAAGACAGTGACACAATCGTAACGTCTTCCGAAGATCGTCTGCAAAAGACGCACAAGAAAAACTGCGAGGCGCGTCAACTCTGACTAGACAACCTCCTACTTTTCCGGTCATTGTTGTTAGAAATTAAACATGATTTCTTCGCTGCATCACTGATGTCTTGTTCCTTTTTCTCATTAACGGTTTAACTTCCTCGACGAGTGATGCACAAGAGGATGAGCACAGATTGAAGCGATTGAACGTCAGACTTTTAGGTTGACTCATCCGGGAGAAATACTTCGAGGAGTTCACCACATTCTCTCCTCAAGCGAAATTTTCTTTGACAATTTAAAATTCAAGCATAATATGTGAAGACTTGAACAAAAGAGCAGAGAGTACAATTAAAACAGTTATTGTGCGGAGACCAGCGCGAAGTTGATAAAAGTTTGAAAGCGGCCTGACGTAAGACGAAAAGAAAAATAGTTTGGACAAGACATCGACAAGAACTCCGAAAAGCCATCCTCACAATGCCGAAGACAGTGGACAGTCCGTCTTCTGCATCTCCTGCCTCACCGGCAAGTTTCCATGCCTCCGAGGCTCTCCTCCCTGCCGGGTCCTCGCCGCTTCTTGCCCCGTCTCATCACCAGCATCAGTCTGCTGCGGCTGCTGCGGCTGTCTTTGGTCTTCTTCCCCCATCGTCGGTGTCCAAATCTTTGCCGGTCAGCGTGGTCACTCCAAGTGGTAAGTCCATCAAATTCTTTCAAAGCGGAAACATTTCATCCAAATATTTGATTCACAAAAAGATTCTATAAAGCTAAATGATTCGAAACTAACTTCTCAGACGTTGCCTTCATCATTTGCAGGTCAGTTTTAATTTTCGTTAACGAAAATTAATTCAAAAACAAGCTTTGAGCTTGTTTCAATTTTACTTTGCTTTACTGACTTAAGTGAAATCTACAAAATTCAAATTAAAAACCGCTTCTTTACTTCGAGTTTCTCTCTCCCAAAAAAAGTATTTACAAAATGCTTTTGATAGAAACATGATACAGAATGAAAACAAAACAAAGTAACAGACAAACTTGAAAATTTGAATATTTGTTTCAAAGGAAGGACAGCAAAGCAGGCACGACAGGGAGAAATCTCTGTCAAGAAATGTTTGCTTACAACAATTTTCTGAAGGACAACCGACAATTTTAATACGTCAAATCATGTCTCTTTGGACATCCTGAATCGTCAACTTTATACACATATTTTTTTCTCTGATAAGCCAAATGGAAATTCCACCGATTTCGTATATTTGTGGAAATACTAAAAAATATGTGTATTTATTGCAAAGGGTTCCTGAGATTTATGCAGTTTTGTCTCTTCGCTCACGTTTAAGAAAATCCACAAGCAGCAGACCTCATGGATGTTCTTTCAGATGCTCTTTAAGAAAGATTACAAATTAAGTTATGCAGGGAGTTGGAGAAGAAAAATGAAGACAATTATGTAAAGTAAGTTGCCAAGAAAGAACGACGAAACACGCCCCTTAACACAGAGCCACGCCCCCGTTGTGACAAGGAAACAACATTGTCGCTTAAATTTTCATTTGGGAGTTTTATAACCGTTGATTTCCGTTATTGTTTGACATTAAATCACTTTCATTGTTCTAAAATTAATGTGTACTTTAGTTTACGAAATATGTAAGGGCTTTTTGGCCTTGTCGCTTGAATTTGTATCCATCATGACTACGCAGTTACTATCCATATTTCTTGCCTCTGTTTATAATAATTGCAATAATAATGTGTGTTATGCAAAGGGGAAAATGTACACAATGAACTAAACAAAACAAAAAAACGATCAGACAACACCAATGCGAGTAACAAAAGCACCTGCTACTTATACAATCACTAATATCTGCCACTAGACACTTGATTCGCAATAACATTACTCTTGCCTCGGAAGGACCAAACCAGAACCAAGTGCGAAATTTGCCTCCTCTAAAACTTGAAAGAGCCTTAATCCTCAACAGCGAAACCGTTGGGTGTCTAAGATGCCGACTTTTCTGTTTTTACTACCCCGTATTCCGGCCGGAGCGTTAAACGAACAGGCGCGCCAAAGGGTGGCATCCGTTGACGGACAAGCCTTACGATCTAGACCAGGGGACACGGTAAAGGGGTGTGCAAGGCAGATTTCACTGATGAGTGACCGGCCGCTCATAACATTACAACCCGCTAAACTACTTCACTAAGTCGTTACTTCTTTCTCCGAGCTTGTTCTAACCGTTACCTTTAGGGCCGCCTGGATTCGGATTCAACTGCTTCCAAGGGCGGATCCAGAACACAATTTTCGGGGGCCAAAAAAAATTTGGTCCCCAAAAATGTGGGTCAAAAAAATACGGCGTGGGGTTCGGGGCCCGCTGAAGGGCCCCGAAAAATTTTTGGATTCTAGATGCTCTGTGGTGCGATCTGAGGCAATTTCTGACCACTTTAACAATGTTTTTTGAGGAAAAGATGGTGGTGTACTCATTGCCTGCCTTTATTGCGATGTCACATAAAAAAAAAAAAATTGGTTTCGTTTTGGGGGGGGGGGGCCATGGCCCCCTTTGGCCCCCCCCTGGATCCGCCCTTGACTGCTTTTCATTTACAGCTTTGTTTCATCATAATAGTCGAGCTTACACGATCCATTGAGGATGTGTTCTAATTCCTCCATGCTCGATCTGTGCAGTAGAGTGTAATTGTTCATTTTAACTAGATTTCAATGACAGTGGCGGTTATTTGATCAAGATTTATAAAGTCCCTATCAAATATGCAACTCTGGATTTGCTGTTGCTTTTGTAAGAAAAAATGTTATTAAAAATAAGTTTAGGACGAACACCATTATTCAGAAAATTATATCAAAGTCATATGCACACTTTTTGGAAATAGAAATAATTTTGATTTTTGTTTTAACTTTCTGCGGAGAACATAAAAAATGGTTTTAAAAGTCATCGACTGTCTCTTGTCCTTTGATAAGAGATACCATCTGACCTGAAAATCTATGAAAATTCGTTACAAGAAAAAGGTCATTAGAAAAAAAAATCGAATATGTTCATGAGCATGCATGAACAGTAAATCCTGAAAGCTCGATAAACAACACACAGTTGCCATTAAACAACTGAGAAGCATTATATTTTTTGGTGCACCAACTTCGACATAATATTATATCAACACATCTGGAGGGCATTAGTCTTAAGGTTTCTCGAAGAATTCCCTCTTTGTTGACACGGCATCTCTCCCTGGAAAACTCCGAGTCCCTCGAGGAAGAAACTACGATTAGTTTGACCTGTGACCTCTGACCCCGATTGACCCCGCGGCTGGGTTTACTCTTCGTCGGCGCGTAATTTACACTTTGGCGGGTTGTTTTTATATTCTTTTTCACGCGGCAGGATTAGCGGAGCACGTGCCCTCACACCGTGCATTTCAGCGGCGGCTGGCCGTGTCAGACGGTAGGCTTTGGGGACAATTGTCGCTACCCTTTTGCCGAACACGTGGCCGCCGATCCTCCTTTTCCTACGGACTATTTATCTGTTGATTTGTTCGATTATACCTCTCAGTTTGTCTCTCTCCATCCATACATCATTTTTGGCATTTTATAATTGTGCGGTCAACTCTCGACAAAAGCGTCTGAAGCTACCGTGTTGACGGTTGACTGGTCGATCCTATGTGCATGCACCACCCAGCTGTCTGTATCACTGTGTGTGTCACAGTCGATGTATCTAATTTTGTATCATCATCTGTCATTGTCACTTTTTAGATGAATGTTTTGTCAAAGTCTATTATCCGGAAATTTCAAAGGGAACATTGATATAGAAATACTGTTTATATTTATTTCTATTTTAACTGGGTAGCCCATTCAGTGGAATAATATTGTTCATCCATGGGGCCCAGTTAGAGAAGACAATGTGAAGAAACTACAGTTTAATTAAGAGGTGGGAGGAAAACCCCAGACGAAAACCCATGGAATCAGTTAGGGACTGAAACTCAATCCACATGTGGACCAGGACAGGAATTGAACCTGGGACACAGCGGTAGAAGCCGAGGAAAGTACCGCTACGCCAACCTGACTCCCCCATAGCATCGGGAATACCAATCATGACAATCATCAACAGCAATAGTAGCCACAGTACCTACAGCAATTATGACACTAAACGATTACACCATCGAAAACCTTAAAACGCAACAAAGTAAGTTAAAGTGGACCTAAAGACAAAAAAAGTAAATATTCATTATGCGTTAAGACGAAGTTAGAGGGCAATGACTAAACTTTGGATAGGCATGACTAAATACCTTTGTTCATTTTATTGTTGCCAAATTAAAACAACGAACATCATCTGAGACACCTGTACCACATAAGTCTTTAGGTATACTATCTCACAATGCAATACGTTTTCCTAAATAATGACATGCACATTTCTCATAGATCGTTCATCCGTGTTTCCGTGAACAGTTCGCTCCTTCATGGGTCCTTAAGTTCATAGTCGCAGTGGACTATTTAGCCAATTTTACGCCTGTTTAAGTTTTAGTAGGTTTGAAGTTTTCGTACCGTACACCGGCATCACGTTACCCCAAATGCGAGGCGTACACTCGCCACAGTTGCTTCTGTATTGTTGGTTGAACTTCACGCGCCCATAAACACATCAACAATTCAAAACACTGTATAGTAGTAGGCGGAGAATTGAACTTGGAGGGAACACGGTTCACGAGCCTCCATCATTCACCAAGTGCAACAACAACATTATAATACAGTTGTAATTTCCAGCTCGGGCATTTACCGAGCGTCTTATACCGTGGAGTTGTTATTTTCTGTATCAGCGCGACCTCCCTGACCTATTGTACGGGAACAAGCGCGGCTAACGCCGGCAGTTGTCTGCGGGCACAGCCCGCTGCGCGCAATCCGCAGAGTAGCTTTCACCTCGGCCCCGACTTTTTGCCGTCTACGACCAATAAAACCTCATAAAAATTACAGGAGGCAATTAGACCCTTTCACGAGCTGCCACTATAGCTCTACATATATTTACTTTTCTTCCCACTGGAACCCGAATTGTGTATTCCATAACAACCAAAATAGACGTTGAATGATTTGATCTTTCCTAACACCAAACGCAACACATATTGCGATGTCGGGCATTGTTGGGCCTGAATAGAGGGAAATGGTCTGCCGGCAAGTGGGAGCCCAGCCCCGGGGCAATATCGCTCAGTGCCCGCCAAAAATCTCCCCCTTTCTCACATCAAGTTGCTACGGTGCGTGCGTGAGAGTTGAATAAACCTTCTCGATGAACCAGCATTGTTCGGCCTGGCTATTACTAGACCAGTTGTCCCCGTGTGTCTACATGAAATGATGAGATTTTCTTGTTGCCAGGCACAGGCCAACACTGTCGAATAGACCCTCCTCATGAATTGATATCCGAAGATCTAGATGATAAGAAATTGGTCAAACGTTCTTGCTGCGGTAATGGACCGGTGGGGGCGCTATACATGCAACAGGAAGCACGTGGGTAACTTTTCGTTGGTGAGCCTACTCAAAACAAGCAGGATAGGTTATCACATGCATTCGTGCATGGCTACCAGTAGAAGGTGTCACACCTGCGCCAAGATGCCACACATTATCACCGCTAGAGGGCCAGATGATGCACAATTGAACTTGTGGCATTGCACAGCATCAATGCGGTTTTTGAAAGCTGGATTTCGTCTCAAGATGTAGCTTCAGGAGAGTTATTAGGC